CTTAAAATTTCCAAAGTTTCAAAAATAAATTTGCAATTCCTCAGATTGTTTTGTTCTAATATACATACAAAAAAACAGCCATTTTTTTTGCAAAATTCAATAAATAGCTGAAGAATTTTTCCTAGATTTTATTCGAGGATCCACTGAAGCGACTGGCACTTTTCCAAAAAGCATATAAACGTGTGTGGTTATAATTATTCGTTTATTTCCCGCAAATCAGATTTGGGCGCCTTGTCTCCTCCAAAACTGTTTGTGACTCTCCACACTCTTCCTTCAGCTATTTTCTTCAAATTGCGGGGCCACTGCAGCATAAATTCCTCGCCGATTGCCCCCATTTTCGGCGCCATGAAGCCCCCCGGTGTGTTGACTGCGAGACCAACTGACACAATTTTCGTAACTTCCAAGAAATTGGTCCCAAATGTGAGAAGGGTGTGTGAGTTCCCGTCATCTGGGTTCAGGTTTCCGGCGACTGGAACTAACGGCTCAAGACCCAGCACTTTCTCCTCTGCGAGGTGTCTGTCACCGGCCGTTACTCCGGACACTGGGTCTGGCCCCACCGGGGGTTGCCCGAGAAGCTACAACATTTTGAGGAGAAATTGAGAAGGTGAGATATCTTGGTTAAAATTCGAAGGTATTTATTGGAGGGTTTTGCTTAGAGTTGGCAACTCGCGTTTCTCCAAGTGAATCTGTTGTGTGTTTATGTGGTGATGAAAGTACCTATGTTTCTTGTGCAGGTTATTTACAGTTGTCGATTCTGGGCAATTTTTGCAGTTTGGGGGTCTTTGGTTGGTTCTTTCCTATGCTTCGTCAAGGTATCATTTCTAGTCAGCAACTTTATTTTATATTATTATTTGATATGGTTTTATTGTTTATAATAGTAAATGATTTTTGTTCCTCTGTTTTTTTTTTTTTTTTTTAAAATAGTTTGTTGTAATGTGTTGATATAAAAGCTTCAGGTACTCGAAAGCAAACTTCTGCAAGTTCTGTCCCGTCTTCTACACATTGGTGTAATGTGTACAAGACTAGTACAAGACACCATGAAAGTGTTATAGAGGAGTCAAGGGGACTTGTTGGATTCATTGGGTGGAGAAGATGGGACATATGTTATCAGATCACTTTATTCTGGGTTATTAATACCATATTTTGAAACTGAACTTGTCGCATAAAAGGAAAAAGAGAAGAAAGAAAATTCTCTTTCTTTCTTTCTTCTTCACATATTTAACCGTAGAAAAAAATTCAATATTCACGAGGTGCATTTTATTGTTACTTTCCTAAGTTCAATTTTACAAATAGTCCCCGACTCTTAAATCACTTCATCAGTGTCCTCACAAGATCATGGTATATGAATATGCCATCCATTGAAAATATAATCTTTAAGAACTTAAGATATTTAAAGAAGGAGATGGTGAGCTAGATTTACTTGGTTCAATAGTAGATCAGAAACCTAGTTAAGTAAGCTGTTTAGTTTTACGAACGGAAGTTCCTCCTCTCATCATTGTTATGCAATTACTTGGGAACAAGCATTGCTAAAATGGTAATATCTAGGGCCATTAAGGTTGTTGGAATAATAATTGGCTCGTACAAAGAGCATAACATCTAGGGCCATTAAGATTGCTCCCAAGCGCATAACAACAAAAACCCATATACCATAGCTGCATTGATAAATTCATTCTCATTTTGTAGATTAATCTGTAAAAAACCCCATGGAAATTTCTGTGATTAAGCTGGAAAAAAAAAAAGATGGTATCACAGCAGCTGCCAAAAGACTTGTTTCTAACTGTAGAATGGCAGGATAGCTGTTTGTAAAAAAACTAAAGAACCAATAGCAAGGAAATTTTTTCAGTATTCCAATAACTACAAATAACAAATATATCCGATATATAAGCTTCTGCATGCCAGGAGTATTATAGTTTGTCAAACTTTCTCACTTTAAAGATATCTTTGATGAATTCAATGAAGGCACCCAATCCTGCAGTTTTGTTATATGAAAAAAATTATTTCCTTAGCATATCTTAAAAGAGCTCCCTGTCATTATTGCTTGTCTTAAGCTTTGTGCTATAGTAACTGGAAGAATACAACAAAATGACACCCATAGGGAAGTTTTGGTTGTTAACAGTGTCCTCAACATGATGCATGTTACCTAGGGGCTTTCAGTGGGCCACGCTCCCTTAGGCATAAAAAATTCAAACAGTTTTCTCGTCTTTTCTAAATTTTCTAACCCAAATACATATGAGGTAAGGGGTTGATAATGTAGAGTGAATATAGACGTCATTTTTAAATTGCTATTTCTAGCCCCCAGAAGATACATGAATAATTAAGTAAGTTAGAAGTGGCTCTCAGGTATTAGATCGTAGCTCTAGCTAATGGATTGCTTACCTAAGTGCCAAGATAGTCTGCAAATCCATGAATTAGAAAAACCATGGCTAGTTTTTGATGTTTGGATGGCAGAAATATTTATGGCAGACAAAAGACTATGATTATAGCTAGCTTGTGGGATTCCCCCAAGGGCATTTTTGGATTGGGCATTTGTATATTAATTTTATCCTGCTTCAAGGAATTTGTTTTTTGTAGCACTCAATTTGCATGGAGCATAGCTCTCATTCTGCTGGATCCATACTATATGATTTATTATAAATTAACAATATTCTTTATGCATGTAGGGCTGCACCTATGTTCTGGAGGCCTTCCAGCAGTACCTTGTGCATCGGGCGAGGGTGATTTTCTTGCTGGTTGAGGCCATTGGTATGTTTCAATTTATTTTGTCATCTCTTAAAATCTCAATTGCTAATTTTTTTTTTTTTTGATTTGTTCATTAGTTATATCTGTGGACAAAGATAGTGGTGTTTCTCCCTTTGCACTTTATATATACATTACTGAATGAGCTCCTGTACTATGCTATTTTCAGTGGAAAATATAAAAATGAGCAATTTAATTGTAATCATATCTAGAAATGGAAAGAACAATGCAATAATGTGATAAGTGTCATATATCTTTTAGGTTGAATCTTGCATAATCTATCTGTAGCTGTTCTATAGAAGATGTTGATAAATAATCTGAAGGATGTATCATTTCAGATGCATTAAAATGGATTCTTTCATCTTAAAGTACTGTCCTAGTATTATGGTTTGCCAGAAACTTCAATTGGTAAGCACAGTCCTTGTGTAATCATCTTTAAATATATGCACTATCCAAAGAAGCTTCACCTGACAAAGGGGATGTATATGCCAGAGAGCCAGAGTTGCAGAGATGTTACTCTGAATTTAGTTTGATACAGGAACTGACAAGATAGAGTTTTCATGTGAAGCAGGCTAGCTAATAAAGAATTAAAGGACAAAGACAAGAGAAGGTAGAGTAACAATAGAGATCTGTAGAGAGGGAGAGAGAGAAACAGATTAAGCTCTTTTAATTAATGGAATGCCAAAATTTCCCTTGAATCATTACACTGATTGTAATGTATCTGTAGGACAATCCTTAATGATTAAAGTCGAACAAAGAAAGAAATGAAACTGTAACTTGAAATTCAAAATTGTTAAAAGGTTTCTATTTATAGTAGACTGAAGAACTATGAAATTATTTCCTCGCCCAGCTGTTGCGTTACATTCTCCATAATTTTTCTTTATCATCTTTGGCCTCCATTTGGGTTTCTTTGCCTTTGTTGCAAAGACTTTCAAACTGCTTCATGGTTGCATCTTTTATGTTAGTTTAGTTAAAAAGAAATGACAAAACAATAGGATACATTTGGATACTTGTTGGTCTGTCTATATAGCATGTGGACATAGATATGACATATTAGTATATTTCCCTATTAACAAATAGCCAAATGTATGGTACATGACATACAATCACAATGATCTGCAAATGCAGCTTAGATATTATGCCACTCTACGTCAGTCACAAATGTAAGGTGTGTTATGAATAGGAAATTAGAGTATTAAATTCTAGAGAATTTGGGATTTCCCCAAAATTGGCACAATTTGGTGCTGATTTGAAATTTAATATTTCTTAAATGAACATGAACTGCTTAAATGAAGTGATGGGGGTAAGTGAAAAGAAGATTAACATGAAGACATTGTTGCTACCAATAGTGGAAGATGGAAAAGGGGGGTAACTAGAAGAGTGTAATATGAATGACATATGCTGGTTCCTTTAGACTGGATAATTATGCAAATTACCTTCATACTCTTCATCGCATCTAAGAAATTGCCAATTCTAGAGTTCTACAAAAATTTGGTTTCTTAATGGAGGGAAGGAACAGAGGAAAGTGAGCTCGAAACAAGTTAGATGGAAATATGAGAAGATTCTTTCATTTGGTTAGTGTGATTATTTCTGTAAAAACTGTTCTTGTAGTTAAATGGAAAAACAGGGATAAAGAACTAATTGAATTTAGAGAAATTTTTCATTCCTGTGATGATTTTTTGAGGTGTCAGAGGATAAGATGATCTAAAATTCCTCAATTTGAGAGTGGCATTGAAGCCAATACTTTAGGCATTCCCTGTGTAGGCATACCAAATTGTCGCCAGAACTGACTTTTGCCGCTTTGCAGTAACTGTAGTCATCAGACAAAAAGTAATGCCTGCCAAATATGAAATAAATTCTGAATGTTAAAGAACATAATCTGCTATATACTTGGGTTCTATACAGAAGAATGCATAAAGCAATAAAAAATATCAAGTGTCACTTTATGAAAAAGTTAGTCTTATTATTCCAACCTAGAAAACCTCATAAAGGAAATAACTTGCTGAGTCACACCCGAGTGTAAATGTAAATTGAAAGCAGTATCATAAGATCTATTATAATTGCCCCCACCTACTTCAAGGGTTTTGCACCCATAAATCTTTAGAAAGTTGGACTTCTACAAATTTTCATTTGATGGTAGAGCTATAACATAAAAATAAAATTAGCTTAAAATATAATGAACAGAACTTTTATATGTATTGCATATGTATATATTGCCTGCCGGTGAAGGGAAAAAAAGGCTGGATCTGTTGCTGGAAAAAAATATGGATGTGGAATTGCTGAATGGTTACACCATCAACAAGGACTTGGAATGAAATTTTATGAATATGATTGATGTTGTCTATTGTTAAATATTGTGGTGGCTAAGATCTGAAGTATGCTTTTCATATAAAATAGCCAGCATGTCTGTAATATGTTCTATGTCTCCTGGGGTCAGGTGCGGGGGAGTGCCCCGGAGGGGTGGTGGTTTCTTTATGGGTGTTGCAGATGCAAGGCTTTTCTTTCATCTTAAAACTACCATAAAATCATTGATTTGCACTTATTTACTAAATATGACCAAATTGATGCAAAAAACAACAAAGACCCTTGTTGCATGATTTTATTTTTATAGGTTGACTGTCAAATTTTCTCTACCACTTTCACTATTTTATCTTTCTTTTTATTTATTTATTTGGGGGGTTCTGAAATTCACTTCAGTCTTTAATAAATTGCAACATTCCCCATGTATAAGCCTTTTTCATCTGAGATGTAGAATTGATCGAAGTTAGTTATCAACCTATGCAGAACTTCCTAATTTGTAATCTTTTGTTCCTTCCAGATGTATATCTTTTAGGAACTGTTATGTTGGTATTTGGCATGGGTCTCTATGAGCTTTTCATCAGTAATCTTGACATTGCCAAGTTACAATCAGCAGAAAATTTCCATACAGATCAAACCTTTTTGGTTTGTTCACTCTAAAGGTAAGTTTGATGCTACAAGATTGACTATCTTCCAATATAGTATGCGTATTTGATCTAACCTTTCTGGGGTAGCATAACTCTAGTCCGTGTAGGCTTTGTGTAAACAGGACATCTTGTTTTATTGGTGCTATTATTTAAAAAGAGAAGTTGGTAGCCTTCAAACAGAAATTTTTTTTCTCCCACAACATTTGTTGATAATTTTGTTCTGAAGCTGATAGCATTTAAAGGAATCTGTTGTGCTGTTATCATTCTTTGCACCATTTACAAATCCATGCTCACTCTTGATTTCTTTTTATTATTACTTAATTGAATTATCCTTTTAAGTTATAAATATAAAATTGAATTATCCTTTTAAGTTATAAATTTAAAACTCAGTAGCATAGGAATTCTAAACAAATTCTTCAACTACCATCTTCTGACTCCTGGCCAGTTTCTAGTTTCTACTTTTGAGTTTCTGTTTCTTATCGCTTTTCTTCTTTCCAAAATTTCAGGAACGTCCCAAATGGTTAGAAGTAAAATCTGTCAATGAGCTGAAAACCAAGCTTGGTCATGTCATAGTGATGCTTCTTCTCATTGGCTTGTTTGACAAGAGTAAGAAGGCAGCTTTACACACTCCTTTTGATTTGCTTTGCTTCTCAGCTTCTCTACTTCTTTCATCTGGCTGCTTGTATCTACTATCAAAGCTTAACGGCTCAGAGTGATCTGAAATGCAGAGTCTACATGTATATAAAACTAATGTGACAAAATCAAGTAATTAAATAACAGTCCTTGCGCATGTACTTGTAGTCTATGATGAATGTAAAACTGAGGTCTTTATGCTGTAATATGTATAATGTTGAGCTTTTAATCAAATTAAATATGTTCCTTTAGAGCTTCACAACTAGTTCATGTAAATTTTTTGATGTGCGTTATAGGACTCTTCATAACAAATGAACTGTGGATAAGTGGAAAGGTATCATCTCTCTCTCTCTCTCTCTCTCTCTCTCTCTCTCTCTCTTTTTGGGGGGGGGGGGGGGGGATGAAACCAAGGGAATCCCCTAACTAGTTTTAACCTGAGACTAATCTCCTTCACCCCATGAGCGTATAAGGTTCAAGTCCTCTCTAACAATTGTGCTTCCGGAGGATTGAATTGTGTTCTCACCTTGCTAAGGTAGAGGCCGCTAATTGGAAACGCATCTTGGAAAAGTATCATTTGGCTTAATGGTTAAGTTGCTGCGGTAGCCCTTTTTTTGTGTTCTACCTTAAAACAAAACAGCTCTGTGTTCATAGCATAACATTTAACAGTACAGTCCTGCTACTGAATGCTCAGTGAATATGGTCTTTGAGAAACTAAAAAATGAACCCCGAGTCCTCACAGGGCTTTCAAGTCATTGTTGCATGTTTAGTTGAAGGTTTGTGTTTTAGCAACTACTTGGGAAGAGCCATTACTGCATATTAATTGAAGATGTTGCCTCAACTACTTAGAAATTCATCCCAAAATCTTCCAAATGCTTTAAATCACTACTGCTTGCTCACTGAAAATAGCACTCAAACTATTTAAGCAATTCATCGTTAAGTCTGCCATGGGTGAAATTACTGGATTTTTGCTTTTTGGTAATTGAACTTTTGATGAAACTAGCATTCACTAGCAGTAAGTTGTTCATCTTGGACTTTTGCACATAATTTAAATCGCACTCTTCCTTCTACGAGTGCCAGTTGACATGAGCATTGCAATGCTTGGTGGATTGATTTTTGTTTACATAAGGCAAATGTTTTTTTTTTTTTGGTGTAGTGTTAGTGTGTGTGTGTGTGTGTGTGAGAGAGAGAGAGAGAGAGAGAGTAAACTAGTTGGTCTTATGTGGTGATAATTAACCAATATGAATAATTGTGGAGTGGCTTTCGTGGTATAGGATATATTAATCAATGGAACACTTGCAGTTGTTAACTGTAGATTTGTGATGGTGCTGCTGGGCTAATTTAATTTCAAAATAAATTAGAGGCGCCAGTTGCCATACAACTTTTTGTGGAGATTACAATTATATTAAACTATGCATAAGATTGACTTAGGAAAAGAAACTGATTGTCAATCAGATTCTCGACAAAGAAGCTTCTTTCTAAATACCCAAAGCTCATTTAGGGAAGGTAAGGGAGATCAAGATGGTGCCTTATGCATTGACTAATGCACGTGGGAAAAAACACGTTGGAGGGTGAAAATGCAAGAGGAGGAGGCGGCGGCGGCGGCACATTAGAGGGTGAAAATGCAAGTTATGACAGTATATCTGAATAGATGAATTGGAAAACATCGTATAGGGGCCTGGAAGCCTGGAATAAAGTGTGAGGATGGCCACTTTGATCTAGTTGGTCTTGTAAGTTGATGGTTGCTGCGTCAGCATAAACTAATATTATATTTGGCCAAAAAAAAAAAAAAAATATATATATATATATATATATATAAAGAAAGCCAAGCTATACCAAGTAAAGACCACTGTAACTTATGGCAGCTAATCTTAAAAGGATTTGATAGTATAAAATAAAATAATAAGCATCCTTCATCATCATTGTCATCTCTCTCTCTCTCTCTCTCTCTGTGAGCTATTTGGCATGACATTATTACGTGGTCCTTTAAAAGTCCGTCCAGCAACAGAGCTGAATCTGAATGTGTAGGATGGGATTGTACGTGGTGCTTGCATAGGTAAAAAGTCAATGCATGGACAAACCTGAAGGTCTCTATTTGACATGAAAACAATATATAACGACTCTCTTCGTAAGAAAACAATCTTAAACGTAGAACAATCATAAACAATTCAACCCACGCCAAAAAAAAAAAAAAAGGGGGAAATATTGCATGCTGCTAAACTAGCTTCATCCTAGAGGAGCAACTCGTACTTGGAAACCCTGGGCAATCCTGTTGGACTGAACAAATCCCCCACACGGATCTTATTGTGTGACCTCACCACCCATCTAAGCAAAGAAAAACACGGAAATTAATCTGTAACCTTTGCTTCCACCATGATGTTATTAACCTGCAGTCATGGAGCACCGGGCGGTTCTTCGTGACCGATGCCTGGGCTATGACCAGGAGCTGTTGGCCTGTAAGCATCAGTTTCAACCATCTTGTAGCGGTTTAAGGTAAACCCACTAATGCTTGGAGGTTTAGGCACTCGGAAGAAGCCATTGAGATAGTCGTATGAGGTTTTATCTGTCGTGATGCTGCTTTCAATAATAGGTGCTGCTGAAGCAGGAGGAGAGTGAAACCAAGAGATAGCAGTCTGACCTTGTGTGCAATGGCCATTAAAAACAAGATTATAGGTTTTAGGAAGCTAAACAAGATGTGCTCGCAAGTTTGCTAACTCATGCACAAACTAAGGGAAGAGGTGAAAATTGATGGTTCTGATCTACTGAGACTGCTATTTAAGATGATTGGTAAGGTCCCACTTACAGCCTTGCTGGCTCTAAACAAAGACAAGATGAAGAACTGATGCACATGGTGGAGTTCTCAGATATTGGTGCAATAGATAATGGAGAGCAAGGGGATGGGAATAATTTCCATATTTGGCAAGGATAACACTGCTTGACTCGTGTCAGATTAAATGACTTATCCACGTCCGCTCATTGAAATTCTCACACTATTCTTTAGGAAAGAGTAGAATTGATTGGACATCACAAGGAACAATTTGCTTTGCATTTTCTGTTTTGTTTAGTAGTTAGAGAGAGACCGAAAGAAATCGGCCACAGAAATGCTTCTTCCACTAAGCAAATTAGCGATTTGTTAAGACTGACGTTTTATTTTTTCAGCTTTCTTAGTCTTAGTTCAGCAGATGGGATAACATTGGTTAGGTTGATCTTAGTGGAAATGTTATTCTCTGTTAGTCACCCTGCATGGGATTATGCTAACTTATTGCAAATCATTGGCACGATCCAAGTTCCAATCTCCAAGGAGATGGGACGAGCCAATTGTATTTGCTTAAGTGACAAAATAGGTTAAGATAAGACAACACCATCAGCCGAGTCCAAGAAACACTCCTTCACCTTACCAACAACCCCCCCCCCCCCCCCAAAAAAAAAAAATAATAAATAAATAAATAAATAACATTCATATATGTAATTGTGAGAATATTATAGGTTTAACCACTTCTGTGATATAATTTATGATATCTTGTTTTTGCAAATTATTTATATTCCGTCCAATACATTACTTGATATTATTTAATTTATTTGATTCAGAATCTACAGAAATTATGTTTCTTCAAGCCTGGTGTACAGTTATTTGATTTGGGGTCTCCAAATTCCAAATCAAATGGTGGAATGCAACCCAGAATCAAACGTTGAACTATAATCTATTTTTTGAGTTTTCTAAAACCCAAAATCTGAGTTTTCTTAAACTTGCCTCATGAGGAGAGTTTTAGGAAACTCGGTTTTCAAACTACTTCCTCAAATGGACTTTAATTGCATCTCTCTCTAAACCACTTTTAATCATATCACTTCGTTAAATTCTCTGCACAATAACCTTTTCCCAAACCTGCTTTAGCTTTCTCTCTTCAAATGTCTTTTTAGTCTCATCAGTTCTAAAACTCTCTACAAATTACGAACTCAATTTTTTCGGAAATCTAATTTCAAATAAACCCTTTATTGAAGCATGTTAAAAGTGATTTATGTTTATAAAATATTTTAAAATTAGTGATAATTAAAAAAGAATTATAATTTAAAAATAAGGTTTAGATTTGTTGGCCCAAGGCAATGAGGTTAGCATTGCTCTAGGTAATGTCACCATTGTACCAGGTTGTATTCCGGAGAAAGACATATAGATCCTCTCCTGGCCCATTAATATTTCTTTGTGATTCCTATTAGTAAAAGAAGTACAAAGTCTAGGGGATCAAATCTAGGAATCAATCCTTTCTCGCAAAGAAATCATAGAATTTATGTGATTTCAAGATAGAGCCGCAAAGATGATTTCTCTTTACTGCTCTATGGTGAAATATAGAGGCACTTGTAGGGCATGAATAGAATCCAAAGTCTTTTTTTTCCATATAAACTCAAACCTTTGCTCAATTTTAAAGAATATGGATCATTGAGAAATTTTAGAACCACTTGCATGAATATGCCCCATCCAACTGCTCTCTCTCTCTCTCTCTCTCCCCCCCCCCCCCCTCCCCTTGTACATATTCTGCGTGACCTTTGGTTGATATGAGCCATCACATAAACCACCGGGATTCACCCGAACAGTTCATGGAGGAAATAAAAGGCTTTGACAACTGTAACTGAAATCACGAGCTTCAATCTCTTGTCTTTTTCTTAATGGCATCTAAACTTTGGCTTTCTTTGATACTACCCTCATATCTCACAAAAAGGAAGACCCAATTTTCATAAAGACTTGTGTTCTTACAAGAGGTAAAAGTAGTACGCTCAAAAATAACATAAAAAAAAAAAAAAAGAAATCTAAACTTGGTGTGTAGACCTCAATGTGTGTCTGTGTTCGTATGTGTGCGCGTATTAGAAAGAGATCACTCGTGTGTATGAGGTTCTTCCTTTACTTTTTATGCGCTTTTGTCTGCTAGAAACATTTAAAGATTAGTTCCACTTTGAGTAGACTTGGGTCAACATCAGAAATATATAACTCTTTTCTGTTTGGGAAACCCCGTCTTTAGCCTTGCCATGCATGGGTGATTCCTCAGGCCCCTTTCTGAGCCTGACCAATCCTAGGTCTGACAAAGTGCATGTTCGA